ACATTTGAACATTACTACATGAATGCAAACCTAGACCTACTGTATCAGGATCAGAATATCTCTTCGAAATTAATTGATGCAAATCGCAATAATTGCGATATCCAAAAGTAAATATCTGAAGAGGTCACGAATGTGCAAAAATGTGAGACTTGAAGAAAAGTAAGAAAAAAAAGAAAAATAATTATATACGAATATATATGATCTAAAGGAATGCATCATAACGGGTGCGGGGACTAAAATTCGTGATTTCGATTTTCCCTTTTATAGAGGGAATACGAGCGTGCTAAAGGTAAAAAGCCACACTTGTCCATATCCCATATTCGAGAGGTTTAATTCCTTAATTTGATCAAGCAAAATGCACTAATCTATCCTTAATTTCCTAAATGAGATGCAAATCTAAATGTTATATATACATAGGGGTAAGGGATATTTTATTAGGAGAATATTATAGGAAAATGATAATGATCCTAAACATGGAAAATATGCATGACATGTGATGATTTGGTCACGCAAACATGTTCTAAGGCATGGACGGTTCCTAAGGATCTAGCATTGGAATAGTCCATGTTTATAAGTTCTCACTAGCATTGGACTAGTGAGATCGGAAAAAAGGGTCTCAACTAGCGTTGGACTAGTGAAAAATCGGCAAAAGTGTCACAACTAACATTGGACTAGTGTGGTGATGACATGCATTTATTATAGTCTAATAAATCATATAAAGCATAATAAAGAAAATAAACACATAAAATACATAGCAAATAGGCATGATATCTAGATGCAAGGTTCTAAGAAAGCAAGTAACACGTAACACACAAGCATGCAAAACACATAAAGCAAATAAAGCCCTAACTATTACATTGGGGGACCCTAACTACAATTTAAAGGAGAAAACCGTGATCCTAGGAATTGGGTCGTCTTCTCCAATCGAATAGAATTTCAGATAGCTACTGCATCCTGTGCATACCAAAACTTGAATTCACACAAACAGAACAAGTTCAAAAAAAGAAAAACCCGCGCTTCAAAAATCTCTCATCTACCCGGCAAATTAACGATTATCTTCCAGCAAGCATTGTACTTGCTGGGATTTCACTTTCCTCACACACACAAACGCAGCTAAATTGTCTCCAAGTAGAACTTTCAAACAGGCATTTTATCAAACAACAAATGAGCATAAAAAAAGGTCACTGATTCTCTACTCAATTGAAGCTATAATCGACCCCAAAATTTATCAGAAACAAAAAATTTCAGTCCAATCAACCCATAAAACATGCGCGGTCAAAAAATTATGGACAATCACCGGAAAATTGCAAGAAACAAATTCACAAGAGACATTCTTGGGGTTGGGATTTCCAGCGTTTGCTCTTGAAGAAGAAAAAGAAAACTGATATTTAAAGGGAAAAAATGGCTTACATTGCTCTTGCTTGGTGAAATTTCGCTGGTGATGATGGTATATTCGGTGAGCCTGCAACAACCTGCAATTCCTTGCTAATTCCTTTGATTCTTGGTTTTCCTTTGCTCTGTTTCTTTGCCGATGCTTTTCCCTTTTTCCTCTCCTCTTTTTTTCAATTTTTCTTCCATCTACTCTCTGGCTCTCTCTCTCTCTCTTTTCTCCCCGAAAAACTCCCTCAATTTTTAAGGTTTTCCCCCCTTTCCTTTCACTCTATTTTCCCTCTGTTTGTATTTTTCTTGCTTGGTTCCTCCTCCTTCGCTCAGCCCCCCCTGTTTCTTCTTTGTCCGCCGCCCATCTAGTTTTTCTCCTCCCTTTTGCTCTGTTTTTTTCCTCAGCTAAAAGCCTCCTCTCTTTTTTTCTTAGCTCCCCCTTTTTTCTTTTATTTCTGTGTGGCTAATCTTTTTCTTTTCACCACCGGCCCCTTTTCCCCTTTTTTTATTTCTTTTTTTTTTTGTCTCAAATTTTCTTTGGCCTCCATGTGTCCTAACACCTCACCTTCTAGGTGTTATGTTGTCAAAGAAATAAAGAGACACTTGTCCCTATTGCATGTCCCTCACTTGGCCCTATTGCATGTGTGCCATATATTATCTTGTATTTTGTATTTTTCTTTTCAATGCTAATTTCTAATTATCTTACAAAATGTCATTTTATATATAAAAACTCAGTTTGAAAAGAAAAAAAATAAAAAGACTGGATCTTTATCAAAATTTTTCTTTTTCTGAAGTTTAGTGTAAAAAATGTTTTTTAAGAAAAAGAAAACAAAATGATGAATCTTAATATACTAAAATAAAAAAAAACACCAATTACTATTTTGCAACCTTAAATCAATTAAAATAAAATAATAAAATGAAAACAAGAATAAATAATAATAATAATAAAATAAAAATAAAAATAAAAGAATAAACCTAAAATTGAATTAAATAAACAAATAAAACTAAAATTAAATTAAAAAATAAAGCTAAAATTGAATTAAATAAATAAATAAAGCTAAAATTGAATTGAGTAAATGAATATTTTTTGGTGTCTACACCTTGTCCCTCTTTGTCCGAATTTCAAAAAGACTCGAGACAAAGATATAGACACTAAATGCTTACCTATGGTTATTCTGCCATAATCTGAAACCTGTAAACATAAAAGGTCAGTGGGATAAAACCTGAGCCTGCCATGAATCGGAAAGATTTTGCAAAATGCTTCTCTGTAAAACTTTGAAAATTCTAATGAAGGAAGCTAACTTTACTTGGAAAAATTTGCCCCAGTGTGATGTTTTTTGTCATTTGGACCTGCAAAACAGAAATAATTAGAATGACAAACAATGCCGCCACCATCCGATCAATCCAGCTTTCAAGAAATATGTAAACATGAGTCTTTTGAATACTCTTCTTTGCAGCAAGACTCAACTTTGCTCTGCAAACTGCATCAAACTTTCTTAATTTCCTATGCTTAATCGAATATGCCATTTGGTATCTATATATTTTCGATAAATCGCAGGGATTACCGTTCGATAAACAGAACAAGATAAGTGAGACTATGCAATACATGGAAAAATATTCTACTCACCCAAAAAATGAAAATTCTAGTAACATAAAAATAATCATTTGCCTTTATTGAAAGAAAAAATTGACTTTAGAGAAATGAACTTGTACACAAAAAAATTTACGTTTGACGAACCAAAGACTCTTGATCAAAATGCCACGTTTGACCCTTTTGGATATCATCCTTTCCGGAGTTCAATGCTTGACAGCAGATCCACAATATAAAGAGAAATTTCAACAAACTGAGTCACCAGCCATTCCAATCCAAGTTCACTTTCCAACTTAAAACTCTACCTTAGCGCCCTTTCAGGTTTTCACTAAGATTGCCCCCACCCTTTTTATTCATTTTTCTTTTTTTTTCCTTCCTTTTCTTCTTTTCATCTTTCATTTTTTTCCTTTTTTTTTCAAAAGTGCCCTTTCGGGTTTTCACCTGATAAACAGATCCTGCCAATAGCCCTTATCAATTCAGAAATGTGTTTTAAAAAATGATGGCATCAGTGCGACAATCCTTCCCTTACAAAATTGGTGAAGGTGTATTAACATCATTTGTCATTTGATTAGAAAATTTCCTAAAAAATGTGATACAAAGAATAGAAGTTAGGACTTTCGACTTTTGTAATGGGGTCTGGTGGGGTGCTTAGAAAAGTTAAGAGTTAAAGGCAGATTTTATAAGTGTTTAAATCACCTGAAGTCGCATCTTCATATTAATCTTATTTAGGATCAAACTAAAATTGTTCCAATTTATTTTCAACTGAGATTCTTTTCTTTAATTTCCTTTTGCTTTTGTTCCCCTATCTTTCATCTTTTTTTTTCAACTAAAATTTGATCCAGTGTGGGGTTTGCGACACTCAGGGGTTGCCAAATGAAACAATTTATCCTGAAGGTTCAAAAGGGATAACTAGGGATATCATGTTTAATTGGAAAGGAAGAAGGTATGACTTTCATTCCATTCTTTGCATTAACCCTAAAAGAAAATTTCCTTTTATCAGATGAAAAACTTCTTACACATATCCGAATTAATCAGTCGGGGAAAAACTTGTCCATCCATTTCTGTGAGAATAAGTGTTCCACCAGGCAATACTTTCTTGACAATAAAAGAGCCCTACCAATTTGGGGCAAACTTGCCTTTAACCTCTTCTTGTACTGGCAAAATCCGTTTTAACACTTTGTCTCCTTCTTCGAGCTGTCACACTTAGGGCTGGAGCTGAACCAAGTAGCTCGGCTCGAGCTCGCAAGCTACTTGGTCAGCAGCTTGAGCTGGAGCTCGGTTGACCAAGCTCGAGCTCGAGTTCGAGCTGCTCGTTAGAGCTATCGAGTCGAGCTCGAGCTTGGAAATATAATACTCGAGAGCTCGACGAGCTCTATCGAGTTTTTTATAATATATTTTTTTATTTTTATTATTGTGAAATGTCAATAATATCCTTTATTTAAAATTATATATAAAATATTAATTTTTATTACTTGATCTTGATTAGGCTTGATTGAACTCGAATAAGCTCGATTGAACTTGATTTGAATTAATTACATTTAATTAAACTCGAGCTCGAGTTCAAGCTCGAGTTCCATAAATTGATGTCGAGCTCGAACTCGAGCTCGAATTTTAAAAGCTTGACGAGCTCGAGCTCGAGCTCGAGCCTAGTTATTTTGCCTCGAGTCGAGCTCGAGTAGTGCACTACTCGAGCTCGACTCGACTCGATACCACCCCTAGTCACACTTTGACTTTCTTGTTGTAAGTACGGGTCATTCTCTTTTGATAACACTAACCATAACAAATGGCATTTAACCTCTTCTCATCAATCAAAGACAACTGCTCATGACGTTGTTTAATCCAATAAGTTTCCAGTTTGGCCTTCATTAGTATGTGCAGTGAAGGAATTTCAACCTCAGCTGGCAGAACTATTTCCATTCTATACATGACGTTGTAAGGCGTTGCCCCAGTAGAAGTCCGAATAGCAGTTCTATACGCCATTAATGCATAGGGGAGCTTCACGTGCCAATCACGCTGTCTTTCGGTCATTCTACGGATTCCTTTTCAAGTTCTTATTCGCGGCCTCCACAGCTCCATTCATTTGTGGTCTATAAATGGTAGAATTTCGATACTTGATCTTGAACTGTTCACACAATCCATCCACCATGTCATTGTTGAGATTCTTGGCATTGTCAGTGATTAATGTCTCTGACGCACCAAAATGACAAATGATGTGTTTTCTCATAAAATCGGTCACCACCTTCTTAGTCACATGCTTGTAAGATTCGATTTCAACCCATTTAGTAAAGTATTCAATAGCCACCAAAATAAAACGATGTCCGTTTGAAGCAGGAGGGTCAATAGTTCCAATTATATCCATACCCCACATTAAACATGGCCAAGGAGCAGTCATACTGTGTAATTCTGTGGGAGGAGTGCGTATAACATCTCCATGCAATCGGCATTTAATGTACTTTCTACAAAAACTACACAATCATGCTCCATAGTGAGCCAGAAATACCCTGTCTTCATGACCTTCTTCACTAGCAAATGCCTGTTCATATGTGATCCACACACACCACTATGCATTTCTTTCATCAAATAATTTGTTTCATCTTCATCAACACATCTTAGAAGGCCCAAATCTGATGTCCTTTTGTAGACCACCTCTCCATTTAAGAAAAACTTGGATGATAATCTACGCAAGAAACTTTTAGCAGTCGTATCAGCACCTGAAAGATAAGACCCCATTTTAAGAAATTCCTTGATGTTGCTATACCAGGGACGGCCATCAGAAGATTTTTCCATAACCAAATAATGTGCAGGTTTTTCTTGTAACTGAATCTGGATAGGTTCAATCACTAACTCGTCTGGATGTTGAATCATTGAAGATAAAGTGGCCAGAGCATCAGCAAATCCATTTTTGGCACGTGGAATATGCCTGAACTCCAAACTTCTAAATTTGTTTGCTAAATCTAGTAAACTGCAACGATAGGGCAAAATCTTTCAATCCAGAGTGATCCATTCTCTGAACGTTTGATGCACGAGCAAATCGGAATCACTGAACACTATTAAATCCTTAATCTCCATCTTCAATGCCATTTTGAGTCCAAAAATATAAGGCTCATATTCAGCCATATTATTAGTGCAGAAAAATCGTAGTTTAGCCGAACCGGGGTAATGCTTTCCTTTAGGCGATACTAGAACAGCTCCAATACCGACTCCGAATGAATTTGAAGCACCATCAAAGAACAGCATCCACTCAGAGCATCGCTCATTCATATCCTTTGCTACACCAACAAACAAGACATCCTCATCCGAAAAATAAGTGTGAAGCGGTTGATAATCATCCTTCCTTGGATTTTCAGCCAAGTGGTCTACTACAGCTTGGCCCTTGACTGCCTTTTACGTGGTGAAAATGATATCGAATTCAGAAAGAATCATTTGCCATTTAGCCATACGTCCGGTTGGCATTTGTTTCCCCAATAAGTACTGTTTATCTCAATTCATATCTTTTGATGATTACAAAATAAATTGATGCTACTAATACTTTTTGTAGAGAATTTTTTCAGAAATGGCACTAAACAGGTCTGAGGACTTAGAGCAAAAAGAAGATCAAAAAGGTGAAAAGTGCTGAGGAAGATGTCGGGCGCACAAAAGGAGAGTATCGGACGTCCGACATCCATTGAGTATCTTCGGACGTATGAAGAACTCAGACTCGGACGCCCGAAGAAGACAAGCCAGGGCTTCTACGATTACTGATCACGATCGGACGCTCAACACCTGAGCATCGGACGTCTGACAAGCGTTGCTGCACTTCGGACGCAACACTTTGGACGCATCGGCCGTCCGAAGGAATTAAAGAGGAACCTCCAAGTCTGCATCTTACCCTCGGACGCATGATGAGAGGGGATCGGACGTCCTAAGAGGTTCAAAAAAATTTCTCGAACTCACTAACCTCGCTCGGACCCATAAAAACTGACTATCGGACGTCTGACAGCACCAACGGCTAGCTGACTCTTCAGATGCCTTCTATCCATTGACAACATTAATTAAAGAATTTTTTGGTCTCCTATAAAAAGAACAAATTCAACCACCTCAGAATAACTTTGCACATCAAGTCTACATCAGATCGTGAGTGTTTCAAGTGTTAGAATACTCCAAAGGAACATTTGTATTCTTAACTTGTGCAATTTTCTTGTAACTTTTCAAGTGTGACACAGTTTCTTCATTAGTGTAGCATTGTGAGGGTTATCCGAGTGTTTGTAAAACTTCCTTACTTGACCAAGTGAGGTTTGGGGCAAGAAGGAAGTGATCCTTCCTTTGTACACAAGATATTGGTTGCAAGATTGTTCAACTTGAAGAAGCTTGTTATATAAAGTGTTGTTCAAACTCAAGTGGAGTTTGAAGCCTGGTTTGTTTCTCTACTTTCATCTATAGCTTTACTATATAAACTGTTCACTTCTTCATATCACGAACACTTGTGCTTTCTTGTAATCTGATCCATTGAGTGGTTTTCGAGATAAAAAGGGTAGGCTTGAAAAAGAGTAACCTATATCTTAGCTGATTTTAGAAAATCTAATTCACCCCCCCTCTTAGATTGTCTTCGATCCTTACAATTGGTATCAGAGTTTGGTCTCCTGGAGATTAAGTTCAATCGATTTGAGAGTAAATATGACAACCAACAATGCCATGTTCTTTGAGGGACAATCTGTCACTAGACCTCCAATGTTCAATGGATCAAACTATGTGAATTGGAAGGAAAGGATGATTATATTCTTACAATCCATTGATATTGAGTTGTAGTTTATTGTTAGTGAAGGTCCATATGACGCGACTATTGTTGATGAAACTACTCATAAGCCGAGACAAAAAATAAGAAGTGAGTTGACTGCTGAAGATAGAACTCATCTCACTGTAAATGTCAAGGATATGAATGTTCTATACAGTGCATTAGACTCAAATGAGTCCATTAGAGTCAAAGGCTACAGATCTGCAAAAGAAATTTGGGATAAACTTAGAGAGATCCATGAGGGAAGCGAGAATGTGAGAGAGCAAAAGAAATCCATTCTGGTCACTAAGTATGAATCTTTTAAGATGGAGTCTCATGAAAACATTGACAAAATGTATTGTAAATTTAATGATCTGATCAAGGATTTAGAGGTGCTTGAGAAGGAGTACTCTCTAGGTGAGAAGAACAGAAAAATCCTGAATGCTCTATCAAAGGATTGGGAAATCAAAGTGACTGCCATTGAGGAAGCCAAGGATTTGAATACTTTACCCATTGAATCTCTGATTAACTCTCTAACTTCTTACGAACTGAAACTTAAATCTAAGATGCAAGATGAAGAAGACACCAAGGTAAGAAAGAGTATTGCTCTGAAAGCTTCACAAGACGAAGATGAAACAGCCTCACAGGATGGAAATGATTTGGAAGGTGATGACAGTGATATTGCACTCATCACACGAGGTTTCAAAAGAATACTCAACAAGAGAAGATTCAGGAAAGGCGGATCCAGCAATTCCTTCCCAAATCAGTCTAATGACTTCAGAAACAAAGGAAAATTGGAGTTCAACAAGAAGCAGACTGATAAGTGTTTCGAATGTGGCCAACCAGGATACTATGCAAATGAGTGTCCAATGAAGAAAAAGAAGGAGAACAAGGTTGAACAAAAACCAAAGTTCAACAATTTTCAGATCACCTGGAATGATTGCAACTCAGAAGGTGAAGTTGAGGAAGAAGAGGAATCTACTCAAGTAACTTTCATGGCCATTGGAGATGAAGAGGTAACACAATGCAATTCTCAAACTGATAGTGATAGTGAATCTGATGTTGATGTTAATTCCTTTCTAGAAAAAATGTATAATAGCTTAAAAGAATCCTATATTAGAAACAAGGGACTAAAACAGAAAATTAGCTTTCTAATACAAGATAATGCAAATCTTGTTCGACAAAACAAAGGTCTTAAACACGAAAATGAAAACCTGAAAAGAATTGAAGCTGATGTGCTTGCTGAACTTAACAAAAAGACAAATCTCTGTGACACACTCAGAAGTGAACAATGCAGCCTAAAAAGGAGGATGGATGATTTATGTCAATTGTTACAACATATGAAACAGAACCGCCTTCAAAAGAATGACACTGAAGCTCATCTTAACACTCATCAGACAAGATTGAATTATAGTAAAAATGAGTTTAATATCTACAAGAGAAGACAAGTCAGATTCATTAAATCTGTTCATTTGATTGATCCAATAACTGTATGCAATTTTTGTTGTCAATTTGGTCACATGAATAGTAACTGCTATGTTAAGAAAAACATGAGAAATGGAATGAGATGCATGTGGATTGTTAGACATAATGCCAACCATGAAGGACCCAAAAAGTAATGGGTACCAAACATTATATTGTGGACTTCTGTGTAGGTAAACCTGGTGAACATTGTTAAAGAATCAAAATGGTTCATAGATAGTGGATGCTCAAGACATATGACTGGTGATGCATTACAGTTCATCAAGCTCAAGCCAAAAACAAGTGGAAAGGTTACTTTTGGAGACGATAATAAAGCCAAAACTGTTGGTATTGGTGATGTTGGTAAGAATGGTCAAACCTTTATCCACAATGTCCTTCTTGTTGACAATCTGAATTACAATTTATTAAGTGTTAGCCAATTGTGTGATAGGAATCTGTTTGTATTGTTCAAGAAGTTTGAATGTCTCATATTTGACTCAAAGTTCAACACTGTTTTCAAAGGAAAAAGAGTTAATGACATTTATGTAGTCGTTCTTGAAAAAATTGATTCCTCCTATCTCAAATGTCTCAAAGTAGCAAATGAGGACCCATGGTTGTGGCATAGAAGACTTTGTCACTTCAATATGGATTTGCTAAAAGAAATTTCTAAAAAGGATCTTGTTAGAGGTCTCCCAAAAATAAGATTTGAAAAGGACCGGATATGTGATGCTTGCCAATTTGGAAAACAAGTCAATGTATCTTTTAAACCCAAAAAATGTGTTTCTACTTCAAAACCACTAGAACTTTTACACCTTGATCTGTTTGATCCTACACAAACTACAAGCCTTGGTGGTAAGAGATTTTGTTTTGTTGTTGTTGATGATTATTCTAGATATACATGGGTGATGTTTCTTGCACATAAAGATGATGCTTTCAAGAACTTCGTATCACTGTTTACTAAAGTTCAGAATTTGATTGGCTTGAAAATTATCAAAATTAGAAGTGATAATGGCACTGAATTTCATTTTTGTAGCTTTCTAGATTTTTGTGATAACAATGACATTACACATGAATTCTCTATTGCTAGAGTCCTCCAACAAAATGGAGTTGTAGAAAGAAAAAATAGAACTCTCTAAGAGGCTGCTAGAACCATGCTTAGTGAATGCAATTTACCAAAGTATTTTTGGGTTGAAACCATAAACACATCCTGTTATACCATGAACAGAGTTCTCTTAAAATCAATTTTGAACAAAACTTCCTATGAGCTCATGTTTGACAAAAAGCCTGTTATTGGTTACTTTAAAATCTTTGGTTGTAAATGTTTCATTTTGAATATCAAGGAACATTTTGGAAAGTTTGACAAGAAATCTGATGAGGGAATTTTCTTGGGATATTGTGAAAACAAAAGAGGCTTCAGAGTCTATAATCGTAGAACACTGGTTATAGAGGAGGCGATACACATTACTTTTGATGAATCTAATGGTGACATTTCCATGAGTTGTGGTGAAGATGATGATACAGGTGTACAAGAAGAATTAAAGAAGTTAGCAATCAATGATCATGACTCTGCTTCACCAGAAATTGATTTAAATATTGCTGATACTCAAAACAGTCCAGCTGGAGAAGTAAATGACAGAGATACCACTACTCCTAATGATCTTCCAAGAACCTGAAAATTTGTCCAGAACCATCCCAGGGAGTTTATAATTGGTGATCCATCTGAAAAGGTCAGAACTCGTTCCTCTAGACAACTAGTAGATAACCTTGCTTTAGTATCACACTTTGAATCTAAAAATGTTGTTGATGCATTGAATGATGAGCACTGGATTTTAGCTATGGAAGAAGAGTTAATCCAATTTGAAAGAAACAAGGTTTGGACCCTGGTTGCTAGACCACAAGACCATCCTATCATTGGCACAAAGTGAATTTTTAGAAACAAAATGAATGATAAAGAGGAGGTTGTTAGAAATAAGGCCAGACTAGCGACTAAGGGATACACTCAAGAAGAGGGAATAGACTTTGATGAGTCCTTTGCACCTGTAGCTAGGCTGGAGTCCATTAGAATGTTTCTAGCATTTGCATGCTACAAGAATTTTAAATTATTTCAAATGGATGTTAAAAGTGCCTTCTTAAATGACTTTATAGATCAAGAAGTTTATGTTGACCAACCTCCTGATTTTGAAAATGAATCTTATCCAGATCATGTTTTTAAACTCTCAAAAGCTTTATACGGATTAAAACAAGCTCCTAGAGCATGGTATGAACGTTTGAGTGATTTTTTGATTGAAAATGGTTTTAAAAGGGGCATTGTCGATACTACACTTTTCACAAAACAAAACTCACGAGATCTTTTAATTGTGCAAATATATGTGGATGATATCATATTTGGTGCTACTAATGAGAGCTTGTGCAAGTATTTTTCCAACATCATGCAAAAAGAATTTGAAATGAGCATGATGGGAGAATTAAACTTCTTTCTTGGACTCCAAGTGCTTCAAACCCGAGATGGAACGTTTATAAATCAAACAAAATACACCAAGGAACTGCTGAAAAGATTCGGAATGGAGAACTCAAAGCCTGTTGGAACACCTATGTGCACATCTACCAAACTTGACAAAGATGAAGAAGGTACAAAAGTTGAAGAAAAGAAGTATAGAAGTATGATTGGAAGTTTACTTTATTTAACTGCTAGTAAGCCTGATATCATGTTTGCTGTATGCTTATGTACTCGATTTCAATCCTGTCCAAAGGAATCACACTTGAATGCGGTAAAAAGAATTCTTAGATATCTTAAAGGAACCTTAAACT